AGTCTTCCCCCTTCCCTTGTCTATTGTGAGCCGCCCGGAGTCCTTCGGGAGTGGGCGGCATACAAGACAAATAAATACAAATATAAATACAAATACAAAGTTATTCTAAGTTCTAATTAGCTCATTGGTCATGCTTCTTGTCTGTTCTATTGGGAAAGCTGACACTTCCTGGACAATTTAACAGAATAACAGAGTTGGAAAGGACCTTAGAGGTCTTCTAGTCCAACCCCTACTCAGGCAGGAAGCCTTGCACCATTTCAGACAAATGGCTGTCCAATCTCTTCTTAAAAGCCTCCACTGTTGGCGCACCTGCAACTTCTGGAGGCAGGTTATTCCACTGATTAATTGTACTAACTGTCAGGAAACCTCTCCCACGTTCTAGGCTGCTTCTCTCCTTGATTAAAGCCAGCACACTGTAAGGTATGGAGAAGCCTGGTATCCTTACCATGATCTCTGCATGTTGTTGTTCCGGGCTTTTTCTTCAGGGCTCTGCTGGCCCCTTCGGTGCAAGGGAGGCAGATCGGTCTAGGGGAAAAAAAATTGATCCATTTGATTTAATGACCACTAAGAGAAATCCAGGGGGGTGCCATAAAGGTGAGCGGGTAAGTGACAAGAGGAATACTTCCCCGTGAAGCATTAGTGTCTGCTTTATAAAGTAAGGCCACACCTGTAATACTGCATCGAGTTTTGGTCACCACGTTACAAAAAAAGATGTTGAGGCTTTGGGGAAAAAAGATTGCAAAGAAGAGCAACTAAGATAATTGAAGGCCTGGAGACCAAAAATATAAGAGGAACGGTTGCCAGAATTGGGTATGGCTAGTCTAGAGATAAAAAGGACTAGGGGTGACATGATAGCAGAAATCCAGTATTTGAGGGGCTGCCACAAAAAAAGAGGGGGTCGAATTATTTTCCAAAGCACCAGAAGGGAAGACAAGAAACAATGGATGGAAACTAATCAAGGAGAGAAGCAACCTTGACTTAAAAAAAATATGATTTCTGTAATAAGAGTTGTCAAAGTCTGGAATGCCCTACCGGATTCAGATGTCTCGGCTACAAATTTGCATAGTTTCAGTCGCAAATTGACTTCCTTGGACCTTACTTCATACTTAAGTGGTCAGTAGAGGGGGGGGGAGGCGTGCATAAATAAATAAATAAATAAATAAAATAATGAAACCTAGAACTAAAGAGAAACTTCCTAACAGAACAATCAGTGGAACAGTTTGCCTTCAGAAGTTCTGAATGCTTCATCACTGGAGGTTTTTAAGAAAAGACTGGACAGCCACCTGTTTGAAATGACATAGGGGCTCCTGCTTGGGCAGGGGGTTGGACTAGAAGACCTTTAAGGTCCCTCCCAGCTCTATAATGATTGAATGAGGGAGGACAAGATGCCAATACAAGTTGGGTAGGGCCAGAAGGGATTTTCCAACTTTTGGAAATAAGAAATTGGGTCAGCAAAATGCCAAGATGCAAACAGAGAGGATACTGTAAGGCACAATGAAGGGCTATGGCCAGGTGGCCCTTGACTGGCCATCCTTCTTGTTTGGGATACTTAATCCACTGCACCCACTACCAAAGCCGGTACCTGTTTGTTTATTTGCTTAAAAAGTTACAAGGGGCTTTCTCTATCCTTTCTGCCCCGTACAGAATAAAACTGTAATAAAAATGAACATCTCAGTAACACAGTCAACAAGAGAACACAAGAATTCACTGAAGTAAACATGAAAGTCAGGAGGTCACAAAAACTTTAAGCCTCACTCATCACTTCGTTGAGTGACTGCCTCATACAGGGACCATCCATAGTTATGACAGTGATAAAAAAGTAACTTTGCAACCAGTCCTCTCATATATGATTTTTTTTTCTTTCTGTAAGGCAAAGAAAATCTATCTTTGTATTAACACTTGTATTTTATCACTTTATTTCATCTATCTATCTATCTATCTATCTATCTATCTATCTATCTATCTATCTATCTATCTATCTATCTANTTTAAGCCGAGGTGGCACAGTTTTTAGAGTGCAGTACTGCAGGCCACTTCAGCTGACTGCTAACTGCAGTTCGGCGGTTCAAATCACACTAGCTCAGGGTTGACACAGCCTTTCATCCTTCCGAGGTGGGTGAAATGAGGACCCAGACTGTGGGGGCGATACGCTGACTCTGTAAACCACTTAGAGAGGGCTGAAAGCCCTATGAAGCAGTATATAAGTCTAACTGCTATTGCTATTGCTATAAAATTCATAAAACTAAAATATATTAATGGTTGTAAATATTTGTTTAGCAGGTTTGTGTGAATAATACCCAAGAACATAGGAAGAGAAGCTGAAGCAAACTCAGCATGAGTTCCTCTTTAATATTCTTTCTAATCTACTTGTTCATTCCTATTTCATATATTCAATGCAGATACACATGCACACATACAGGCCCAGAAAAACAGTAACACCCCCTCCCCCATTGTACTGTGCAAACGTACTTATCAATTGCTGAAGTAGATTAAGTGAGGTGACACTTCCAATATCTGAAATATGTGTGCAACGTTTTCTCTTTACATCAATTTTATTACTTTCCAGAGGTCTGTTAATTTTTATTTTTATTTATTTATAAAGATTCTCAGCTAACTCCCAGCAATCTCTAACTCCCCAAATCCATAATTTATGTTTAAAAAAAACATACTAAGGAAAATTAAAACCATGTTTATATACTATAAAACAACCACACACGCTGAGTGTCAAACATTTCCCAAATAACAGGAGCAGAGGAAGATTTCTTATCAAATCATCCCTTTCGTTTCACTGGATGCTGCCAAACATTTTTTTTCTTGGAGGTTTTCTATATTCGACTCACTCATACTCAACTTAAATTGTACAACTAATGCATTCTCTTTCAGACATAGCATTTGCACATTTACATAGCAGTAAATCCTGCTAAATTTACTTGGGTGATGATGAATTTTGTAACTGATGCTCTTCTATATATTCCCTGCCATTTAAGCATCATTCTTGTGATCACTCCATGTTTCTGGCAGCTCCTAGACATCCCAAATCAAGCAGATCAATTTGCTTGGAGAATATTCCAAGAATGTTTTGGGAAGCTTATATATATATATATA